TAAACCTCTAAACCCTATAAACCTTAAACCCTAGACCGCGCATCGGTCGCCCACCTCCGGCCAGGGCGGCTGCGGGGAGCCTGACCGGGATGGACGGCAATGGAAGGATCGAAGCCCTAAGCCTGCGGTTTAGGGTTTAGAGTTTGGGTTTAGGGTTTAGGGCTTTTAGGGTTTAGGGTTTAGTGTTTAAGGTTTAGGGTTTTTAGGGTTTAGGGTTTGGGGTTTACGGTTTAGGGTTTAGGGTTTAGGGTTGACTAGTCCCACGCCTGGAGCACAGAAGCAGGAGGCCACAAAGTTCCACCTCGCATCCAAGGACACTTGGGCTTGCTTGCTTCGTCTGCTTCACCATTTGACTTTGAGCTGTAAGTCATGTTTTTTTGAAGTTCATGGCCCCGGACTTGAAGAGCCCCACAGAGTGCAATGATGGATGTCGATAGAAACTGTGACCAAAGTCAATTCTTCCATGGGCTGCAGAGCATGGCGTTTGCTAAGGGCCTTGGACGCTCCACAATGTGGCACAAGGGATCAAAAGCTGCGGACGATAGACCTTCATTCGAATCTGAGGCCCACGGCTGGACAACCCGTTTAGAATCAGCATCAGCTGCGCCAGCTCGTCCTATGACCTGTTCCTTCACAAAACACGGCCCAAATAAATCCCAAACCCCAAAAACCTAAGCCGCCTAAACCCTCAAAGCCTAAAAGCCTAAACCCTAAACCCGACAAGCCTGAACCCTCGATCCCTAAAGGCCTAAACCCTGAAACCCTACAAGCCTGAATCCTCAATCCCTAAAAGCCTAAACCCTAAATCCCTAAACCTGAAGCCCTTAACCGCCAAGGCACAGAAACTGCACCGACACCCAGGCAGCCAGGAAAAAGGCGGCGGTCTCACCAGACGTGGCATGGGGATCAGGTCCTCAAGAGCGGCATTTTGCTGAGTTTGGGCTTTAGGCCCTAAGGTTTAGGGCTTGTTGGGCTTAAGGTTTAGGGCTTAGGGCTTAGGGTTTCAAAGTTTAGGGTTTAGGGATGAGGGCTTGCGGGTATTTTTGGGGGCCTTTAAGTAGCAGCCGCTTGCGTGATACTGCAGGAACCTCGGGCTCTGTAGGAGCATTAGTAATTCGAACAGGATTTTGGGATATCTTCTACAGTTACTTATCATAAGAAACCCCCAAAACAGTATGGGTAATAGGTAGGCGCCTATATCACCCGAGATCCCCCCTCTTCTCACCTTCATCCCAAACGAACCCTGTGATGACGCGAGAGGTCTATGTGTTTCGAAAGGAGATGCAGTTCATTTGGAGGCGCTGTCCAGGTTTGGTGACTTTGTTCCGAAGCTTCGGCCAACTCCTGCAACTGGAAACAACGCAGATGCCGTGGGCTTCAGGGCTGAAGGGCTTGAACTCTCAAAAGGACTGTATCCCAAGCCGCATCCCACGCCAGAAACCCTAAAAGTCTAAACGCCGCAAACCCAAACCCTAAACCCACCCTAAAACCCTAAACCCCTAAATATCCCCGAAAACCCTAAACCCTAAACCCTAGAACTCTTTAACCTTTAAGCCCTACACCGTCAGCCCTGGAGGCTGAATGCTCGTTCGGCCTCGTCCACATGGGCGCCACCACTCCTCGGCGGCTCTGTCGGGCCAACTTCGGGGAGACATCGTTGCCCGGCACAGGGGCTCATTAGGGCTCGTTAGGGTGTCGGGTTCAGGGTTTCTTTTCGCACGATTTTCCACCTCTGGTTTAGGGTTTTGGGTTTGGGGTTTCAGGCTTAAGGGCTTAGGGTTTAGGGTTTAGGGTTCCAGAGATTAGAGAGACTAGGGCTTTTTAAGGTTTAAGGTCTAGGGTGCGTGAAGCTTAAGATGTGCATGAAGCCTCTAGGCACGCTGCTCCGCTCAGCAGAAAAGAGGCTCTTTGCAGTAAAGACGAAAGGAAAAAAGCTTGGACTTGCCATCAACGACAGCAATAATGCTGGCAACCGACAGCTGCCTCTGCTGAAATGATACTGTTCCTGGTGATCAGCTTAGGCAACTTCGCCTGTAGAGTAAGAGCATGTGGAAAGGGAACCCGGTGACTTCGACATCTTGACATTACGCTTGGAGGGTCGGGGGACTCAGTCAGTAGGTATGAAGTAGACTTCTAAGTACCCTAAAAGGGACCCTAGTTGGGGTGATGATACTTATAAGTCTACAACATAACTAGTTATTAAGTCCTCCGACCCTCCCAGCAGGGTGTTTTGACACCTTATGAAACTCTTTGCAGCTGACGGATGATTTTCTTTGTCACCCCTGTTCTGAAACCTGAGATTGACACAACAATCTCCATTTCAAGGATCACGGGACTTAGGGTTCGCATCAGGTGACTATACCTCTCTTCTTTTCTACAACCCCAATTAGATTACTTATGACCATACTCCCTAAGTCCCCGGATTCTCCCATCCCTCCCCTATCACTTCCAGGACACCTCCCCTGGCCTCCAAGCCGTTTTCAGACACAGCGGTGCACTCCTCGTAAGGGCTGGGGCATGAGCGGCGCTTCCGGTAGGTCTGGGAACTTGGCTTTAGGTATTCACGGGTCCCAGGTCGCGAGTGCAGGGGACGCAAAGGTGGTCGGATTGTGGCTTCTGGGAGTCGTTGTGTTTATTGAAAGTCTCGCGCCCGGGAGCTCATGTTCGGTCAGATCCAAATGTTTTGAATCATGATTCTCTTGACCAAGCGTGCATGGGGGGGCTGTTCTACATCAGAGTGCCAAGGATCCTCCCGATGATACCGAACAGCACGATGCTGCGAAAATTAGGGGACAATGTCTACAAAGTGCTTTATAACACGTATGCATCCGAAAACCTTATAACCCTTATACCACAACCCTAAACCCTATAGGATAAAACTGCAAGCCGTAAACCCTAAATCCTGTAAACTCTCATCGAGGGCCTTGACAGCAGCTGCATCTTTGGCAGCGCGAGGAAGCAGCCAACAAGGGGCACCGCAGACACCAGGACACACCTACAGGGTGTTTTAGTGGGTTTAGAATTTAGGGTTTAGGGTTTAGAGTTTAGGGTTTAGGGTTAAAGATACCTAAGGCCCCTAAACCAAAAGCCCCTTAAACGCGACAAGGGTTCGAACAAAGATCCTGACTTCGACGTGGCTTGGTCGAGCATCGATAGTATAACATGTAAAATATACAACATACCATATACAGCATATAGTATATGGTTATATAATATAAATATCTAATGATCGAATATAGTTGTCTAGAACCTAGTAGTTTAACACTATACACATTTAATATTCGAATAATGGAAGAATGGAATACTAGAACAACAGAAAAGGCAATAATTATCACAATAATGGAATAATAGAAACATATATACCTTTGCAAGTTAGAAGCCTGAGTTATAGTCTACAAGCTTCTCGATGACAAGTTGTTACGGGAATTAGAAATAAGAGCTTCTGGCAGGCTTCCTCGAAGTTTCAGGGCCACGTGAAAGTCACAATAGTGGGAGAGGGCTGGTTAGGGCTGTCTTAAGGCTTAAGGGTTGACAAAGTTTCCTGAAAGTTTCTCGATTGCAAAGCTTTTGGGTGCCGAACCAATTGAGAGTTTCTGGGAGCCTTTCCTAGCGTGCTCGGGGCTTCTGTAGAGCTGCTTAAAATTGTCTTGGGGGTTGGATTGCTGACGATGTCCATCGGGGGGTGGCCTTGATCGCGACGTCGACTTTAACGTCACTTACGTGGAATTTTGAATGGAACTTACGTGCTAAACCCTGTACGGGAACCTATTTTAGGGCTTGTCGTTGCCTACACTTAGGATCGATGGCGCTACGAGGCACTGCACGTAGCGTGAACGGGAACAGTACAATAGGCAGGACGTAAGAGGTGGGAGGTAGTAGCCGTCGGCGGTGGGTCGTACAAGGTTGTGGGTAGTAGGCATGGCAGGAAGAGCAGTCGGAGTCAGAGCATGAGAAGTGGTGGTGGTGGTGGTGGTGGTGGTGGTGGTAGTAGTAGTAGTAGTAGAAGTAGTAGTAGTAGTAGTAGTAGTAGTAGAAGAAAAATAATCGTGACAATGCTCACGATATGAACGATAGTACCACCAGTAGCAACAGTAATAGTAATACTAGTATTCATAGTACTAGTACCAGTGCAAGTATCCGTGATAATACCAGTAGCAGTACTAGTACTAGTAGCAGAAAAAGCAACAGTAGCAGTAATAGTATTGTAATAGTAGTAGTAACAGTAATAGCAATAGAAATAGCAATAGTAATAAAAACATTAATAGTAGTAGTAGCAATTGTGAATAGTAATAGCAATAGTAACAGTACTGCAAGTAGGCTAAACAGATAACTTTAGCAAAAAAGAGTAACTTCTGCGGCACCATCGCGGAACTTTCGCGAAGGCATATTTAGCTATGCAGTTGGCCGTTCATATATGTTATGGCTCAAGGAGCTTTAGATCAACTACCATGTATTTCCCATCCTTTCCTACATGCTTCAGGCGAGGCGGCAAGCTTAAATCAGTGCCTGCTCTACGTGGCTCTTAGAGCTTGCGATGATATGTAAGGTGCAGACTCGTTTCACGATTTTGGAACGAACCCCATGCTCCTAAACCCTAAACCCTAAACCTCTAAAACCCCTAAACCCCCAAACCCCTAAACATTAAACCCTAAACCATATAAACCCTAAACCCCTAAACCCCTACACTGCTAAACCCTAAAACCTCGCCGGCGCCACCTGGCCGCACGGTTCGCCACGAGAAGGCTGACCTGACAAAGCGCACGGACTCGAGCTTTCAGCCATCTTGGGTTTAGGATTTAGGGTTTAGGGTTTAGGGTACAGGGTTTTGGGGTTTAGGGTTTAGGGACTTGTATTGATCTCCGTGTCGGGTTCTCCTGAAACTCAAAGACGAAGCCACGCACCACAGGCCTGAAATCTCGCGCCCCCACTCCAACCCGAGAAAACCGCGATATTACAGTCCACCCGATCGATGCCCTAAGTGCACTAGCACCACCGAAGACAGCGCTGGGATCACGGAGGTCTGAACAGAATCTTGAAGACGCTCTCTCAAGCTTAGGGTTTAGGGCTTGGAGTCTAGAGTTTGGGCTTTAGGGCTTCGGGTTTAGGGTTGAGGGGCTTGGTGTCTAGAGTTTGGGCTTTAGGGTGTAGCATTTAGGGTTCAGGGCCTAAGGGTTGTCACTCAACCCGCCTCGGCAGACGAGGATCCCTGAGAGAAGCTGAGGGCTAGAACATCTAGAACCCTACAGACTCCAATCCCCGTGCTACAGCCAATAAAAACTCTGCATACTCCCATGAAAAGAGCATCTCCAGAAACCGCTCCAAAGCTCCAAAAGGCGCGATCAAGGTCCCAGAGCCCTGGGGATTTTGGGGCGTAGGCTTACCCATAGGCCCCTAAGTAGTTCCTTTTTGGGATGACCTTATAGGATTCTAAATATAAACCATAAAAAGGAACTACTTAGAGGCCTATGGGTAAGGCCAATCGAATAAATATTTAGAGCTTGCATATTTTTTAGAATATATATAGATATAATTTTAATATCGTGCTAGAATTTTTCAATTTATCAATATAGAAAAGAATCGAAAAAATCAATATATATATATAAGAATATTGTGCATTCCTATTTATATTACAAAATTGATTTCTTATAAATAGATCCTATCGTCTCGCCTTCCACCACTTCTGAGGCCGGAGTGGTGCCTCTTTTACGGCATCCGTGCGCCGCGAAGCCACCTCCACCTGATTGGCTAGGCTGTGAAGGCCCTATGCCCTATGATTCCGTACTTCTTTCTATGTCGACAACCCTTCTAAACGATCCTGAACCCTGAAGCAAATATCTGTCTAGAGCATTGTGTGCACTTACCGAAGGTTCGCTGGTTTTCCATGACGCCTGCCGGAACCCAGCTTGGGCATATGGTTGAACCGTGGCTTGCGGTTTAGTCGAAACGCTGCGTCTTCTCGAACCTTTCGCGCAAACACCGGGGAACCCAAATTTGCCAAAGCCCTAAACCCTGGGCCCCTAAGCCCTATAGGCCCTGAGCTCTAAACCCCAAACCCTACGTTAAGTGCAGGACGACAGCAGGGACCTAGCCGAGAGAGCTTCGACTCCCGGAATGCTACGTTTCGGTTCCCTGAACCTTAACTTAACCCTAAACCTAAACCCTATAAACCCTAGAAGCCCCTATAGACAATTCACACCCTACCAAAAAAATCAAGGAAAAAAAAAAAAATATATATATATATATAAACCGTACAAGCCCCATATAAATCCCAAACCCCAGGAACCCCCGAAGCTCCCCCAAAGGCACCCCAGGCCTGGCAGGGAAGTCTGAAATTTTCCTCCCAGACCTCCCCTACGGTTGATGATATCAATCCTGCATGACCCATAATAAGGAATATACCATAATTCCCATAGTTTAGGGTCCTTAGGGTACTGCAGGATTTCTATCATCAACAGCACGTCACCACAGTCTTTGTGGGAGCCTTAGCACCCCGAAGAAGGGCTCAGGGCTGGGGTCGGTTTGGGGGTTTAGGGTTTGTTTTTTTGGGGGTTAGGGTTTGTGGTTTAGGCTTTAGGGGTTTAGGGTTTGGGGTACTGATCCGAAGCCTAAAGAGATTGTATCGGTAGTTATTCCGACCTCCCATATTCAAGCAAACAAGTCCTTGATCTCTGCAAGCCTGGACCTATCCTAAGCCCTGTGTGACTTGCAGTAAACAGCAACACCCTAAAACCCCAGACCCTGAACACCGAACCCTCCAACTGGGTGAGGGGATGCAGATTAGTGACACCCGCACCGGCAAGAACTCTAGTCGATTCGAATTTTCAGTTGTTAAGTCACCTATATGGGACTTTCCGAAAATTAGGGTACTTTTTTTTGGTGTCCTTATAATAAGGATCCTACTATTTAGGGTACTATATTAGGGTCCCCTATTTTCGGAAACCCCTATATTTGAGAAACACCGACCACGGCTGGCTAGGGCTCTGACAGCCTGCTGGGTTCCATTGCGCTGGCGCACCGGCGAAACCATCCCACGATTCGGATGGATTCTTAGGGTTTGGGGTTTGGGGGTTGGTGTTTAGGGCTTAGGGTTCAGGGGTTAGGGCTCGTGGGGATGGAACGAAGACAGTCGGTTCTTGTGCAACGAAAGATCCGGATGAAGCTTTGGGGGAAATCCGGGCTTCAAGCTTGAAGTTGGCCAGGTTTGGCGTTTGGAGATCTTGGCCTGTCAGGGCTGTATCCGATGAGGGCATCCGAGCCACTGTGTTTTTAGGTGAGTGCGTGGGACAGATTCAGGTGCTCTGGGCAGTCTGGTGAGCGAGTGTCGATCAAGGAGCAGGGTTTAGAGTTTAAAGTGCCAGGTTTACGGCTTTAGGGGGTTTCGGGCTTGGTCTTAAGGTTTCTAGGGTTCGATTGTAGGTTTTCAAGGTGCAGGGTTTCGGGTTTATAGGTTAGGGTTTTCGGTTCAAGATGAAGCTACCTGCGTCATAGGGCGTCCGGTTTGGTGGTGCTCCATTGCGACCCATGCGCTGTGCCTGAAGCTCAGAGATCTGCAGAAGCCCTGCACCCTAAACCCTGAACTCCGACCCTGAACCCTGAGCCCAATCTGAAACGGCTTAGGGTTGAGGCTTTTGGGACAGACTTGCACGAGGCCTAGCCATGATAGCCTCCTTGACCTTTACCGTACTGTGGAATGTTGCAGCCAGGGCTGGTAATCGGCCCGACCAAACACTCTTTCCGAGTCATGTCTCATCTCTTCCACACGCACACAACCGCGCAAATACAGCTTTGCTGGCATCTGTGCGGAAACTACCGCTTGCCGTCGATCGTCTCGCTGTACAGGTCCGAGACACCAAGGCGGCTATCGGGTTGCGCTCGTACGAGCATGCACCAAGAGCCTACAGGAGTTGCTTGGGGAGCATCGTAGGGGCACCTTTGCGATGTCTTGCACAGCAGTCAGAGACAGGAACAGGGATTGTGACGTCGATACCACTGGCGTATAATGATGGTTGCAGCCTGCTTCCAGTCAAACCTCTCTGTGTCCTGGCGCTTGGCGCTGGTAACACAATCGAGATCAGACCGTTGCTGCCACCCTAAACCTCGGAAACACCACCACAACGAACTGTGAAGGCAATCCACCACCTCGTGGTATCCTTCTCTATCTTCTTATAACAAGACCCCCAAATCCGAAACCCTAAACCCTAGACTCCCAACAAGCTGTGCAGCTTGGAAACGATCTCCCCCAACATGATCACAGCTCATCCTAGAGAGGCATAATCCATCGCCAAGCCAAGGGAAGTGTCCTTCGCCTGGACACAGAAGCTTTATGTATGTCACACAATATACACATAGATATATGCATGTGTATATACATATTATATATATATTATATATATGTGTGTGTGTATGTAGGTGTGTATATATATATATGTA